GAGCCCACATTTGTATCTGCTCTCCATTTGTATTTCTGGGCTTCCACTTGAGGGAAGGGGTCACCTTAAAATATCTGACTCAACGCAACCCTAAATTCGGTGGACCGAATTTAGCAAACACGCAACAGAGACAGACACACAGAAGGCAGAGCTCAGGGTCAGTAGATCCTGACTCATTGGGCCAATAGGCAGGGGGAAGAGGGGAAGGGGGAGGACACATTCCTGGGGACTCTGACAAGGCCGCTGAGACTGCGCCCTGCGTCCATCAGCAATGCATTGCAGTGTAAGCCCGAAGCAACGTGGCATGGCTCAAACAGCAAACACAATTTTGGATACTGTTTTAAAAGGGTAGGGGCAGCGGTGGTTCATAAGGTGAAGTTCCCTTTCGAGAGAGGGCCCAGCCAGTGCCCGTCAGGGGAGCTTGCGCGTTGCTAGGATGCCGGCAGATCTCCAGATGAAGGCAAAGGAGGAGGAAAGGCCCGCAGTCAGTGAGCATTCTACAGCTCCAGGGGAAGAAGCTAAGAAGAGTAGTAGTCGTAGCGATGAAAGTACAAGCTCCAAAGCAAGAGAACTCAAAACAATTACCAAATACACTGTAAAAACAAAATCCGGATTGTACTACCAATATTCAAAGGCAACAAGCAACATTTTTGGCTGACAGAACACAGACTGTGGAATGAGTTAGGCCTGAGTTTTAATTCCAATTCTCTAGTCTCCGCGCACATGTAATTTCAGGGCACGCAGTTGCTCAGACTCTGCCGGAGCGAATTGAGGGGCCCCTAGCAGGCAGCAGCGAGCGAGGTTCTGGGTAACCCTGTGTGTAGCTGTGGGTGCACGGCTCACATGAGCACAGGACTGGCCCTCCCTCCTATGCGAGGACACGCTCGTTCACTGGTGGGAACTACTTCCAGGATGGACAAGGGTGCCATGCTCTCCACGGTGGGCCAGGTTCCCGAGGGAAAGCCATGCACTCGTGACCATTCAGTGACCCGAGGGGGGACCATCGTGGCAGCGCCGTGACAGGCAGAGCTTCACCAGGAAAAGCTAAGCATCTCCAGAGACTGTTCTTTCCGTTCTTTTTGTCCTTGTCCCCATGACTGCTTCTAGAAGCGTCCCCTTGTCTGCCAGGCCACTGACCTTCCTATTCTGCGCACGCTCACAGTGGACGGGACCACACTGTCTGTCAAGGGGAGCCACTGCTGCTGCTCCTGGTGAACGCAGGGGTGCAGACCAGACCAGGCCGAATCCACCCACCCGCTACCCTCCACCCAGGGCAATGCCTGGTTCTCAAGGAAGTGCCACCAGGGAGGAGAAGGAGAGGACAAATAATTCACTTCCTCGAAGTTTCCCCTTGTGTTTCGTGGAGGGCTCTGAACCCCGGGAAAAGCGACTTCATGACAAGTCTGATGGCCAGGGGTGACACTTACCCAAGATGAGATGAAGCTTGGTCTCAGTCTGGAAAGCGTAGTGCAGCGTCACCAGAAACGGCGACTGCCGGATGTGCTCCAGGACCTGCCGCTCCGTCCTCGTGTGCTCGGTCGTTTTGGCCTTTTGGACTATGGTGGCCTTTTTCAGCACTTTCATGGCATAGAGCTTCCCAGCGTCATGGCCACTGACTTTGCGCACGAGAAACACCTTCCCGTAAGCTGAGGAGGAGGAGGAGAGAGAGAGGATGATACAGGCTAACCTCGGCCAGGATGCTTGGTTGGAAGCTGGACGTTAGGAGGCACAGAAGACGCTGTGAAGAGTGAAGTCCCTGGGGGCCGGCTCCAAGAGTTCTGGGATGGATTCCTTCAGTCTCCAGCAAATGCGGGCAGCCTCGGCCTGTGTCTCAGCACGACAGATAGAACACTGCCCTTTACAGCTCTGGGCAGAAACTCGGGGCTCACCAGGGCACTGTACCATTCTTTCTAGCAGTAAGGGCTCTGTGTAACACAAGCTTGGGGTGGGAGTGGAGCCGTGGGGCCAGGTGGGCACATGACTTCACAGGCAGAGGAGGCTCTCTGCTTACATTTCCCTGCTTGGGAGGAGGGGAGGGCACAGCAGAGATGGGGGGAGGAGGAGTACCGAGCTCACTGCCATGAGTAGATTCTAACATAGGGCAACCCTATAGGATAGGGCATCACTGCCCCTGTGGGTTTCCAAAGCCCATGGCGTGGCTGGTGGGTTTGTAGTTAGCAGCCCAAAGCTTCCGCCACGATACCCCAGGGCTCCACAGAGGTGGAGGGAGAACAGGAGAACCACACTTTGTAGAAGGACTGAGGTCAGGTCCCTGGTTTGTGCCCTCCTGGTGCAGTGGTTAAGTGTTCGCTGCTGCTGAAAGGTCTGTGGTTCAAACCTGCCCACTGATCCTTGGGAGGGCAGTGTGGCAGTCAACTTCGGCCAAAACTTACCTCCCTGAAAACCTCCTGGGACAGTTCTCTCTCGGTCCCACAGGGTCCCTAAGAGTCGGAATCAGGTGGACAGCAAAGGCTTTCCGTTCAGAGCTGGTCTCCTCTTTTGAAGTGCAAATGCCTCTTGGGCTGATTTAGTCCAGTGCCCCTTTGAATGCTTGAGATTTTCTGCCCCAGAGCAATGCCTCTAGCGCACCTCTACAGCACTTTGCAAACAACTCTGCTGTTATCCGCCCACTATACTTGTTGATAGATATACCCTGTCCATCAATTTTGACTCACAGCAACCACAGATGATGGCGCAGAAATACCCTACAGGGGCTTCTAGGGTGTAATCAAGCACTGGGCTCCTAACCACAAGGCCAGCCAGTCAACAACCCCCCACCCACCCCCTTTCTGTTCCTCCTTCATAGCCTTGGAAACCCTGTATAAGGTTACTGTGAGTAGGAATCAACTTGATGGCGTTTTGGTGTTTTTGGGGGGGTGATGGTGGTGTAATCTTTGTGGGAACAAATCACCAGGCCTTTCTCGCATGGAGTCACTGTGAATTAAACTGTTCACCTTTTGTTCGAGAGCCAAATGCTTACCCACCGTGCACCAGGAAAGGACTGAGAGAGAGCTTTAAAGGCAGGGAGGGCGCTTGTGTCCTGTGTGGTACCGGGTTCAGTACTTCAGGAACCAGTAAGCAGGGCTAGCTGCATGCTGGGCCAGGTACTGGGGGCAGCCCTTCCCATCTACTGAATCCCTGAATGCTTGCAGCAGCCCTGTGGCCCGAGTGCTTCTGGTAGCTCCAAGAGGGCTCAGAACATTAAGGAAGTGGCTAAAGAACTCCGACCAGAAGTGACCAAACTGCTTCAAACACAGCGGTCTGACTCCAGGGACGGGGCTAGAGTGGGGGAGTTCTAGAATTTACTGAGAGTAGTACCATCAACAAGCTGCACCCACTGTGGAAGGCAGGGAATGCTCACAAAAGGTTTGTCTATTGTCATGGTGAATATGACAGCTGGAGGCAGAGAAGATCAGAAGGCAGAAGTGACAGGGACCAGGCATCATATAGACGGGGTGTCAATAAGGCATACTTATTAATAACTAAAGGAGCCTTGGTGGCACAGTGGTTGAATGCTCAAGGACTAACCAAAAGGACAGTGGTGCAGACCCACCAGCAGCTCTGAGAGAAAACAATGTGGACACACACAGATTTACAGCCTTGGAAACCGCCAGGGCCGGTGACTCTGTCCCGCAGGACTGCTATGAGTATGAACCAACTTGACGGCAAAGGATCTGCGGTTGGCCTGTTGCTGCAGTTGTGGTACAGCCTGTATTCATTATTAAGGCGGACACCCTAACAAGTCAGCCTGAAGAAGAAAAATGAAAAGCGTCCATCTGTTCAGAAGCAATGAAATGAAGCTAGAAAGTATTCTCACGAAGCGTTCTCTCTCCCAATAGAGCATGCCACCACGTGAGCTGGGGGGATGGGCTCCTCTGCAGGGAAACATAAAAAACGTTATGTTCTTGAGGTACCCAGAGCCCTACCCTCAGTTTCAGAACATCACTGCGATGGCTACCCGTCACATGTGAAATGCAGCCAGCTCGGCTGCCAACCATGTCACAGGCTGTAAGGGAGACCAGAGGTCTCAAAATGTACCCAGAGAGTTTAGACAAACATTTTACCCCATTATATTCTCATAACAGCCCTCAGTGGAGGTAGGGATGACTATCTCCATTTAAAATATTGAAAGCATAGAAAAGCTGGCTCATTCGCCCGACTCTTGAGCCCAAATGCTCAGCTATTTTTTTTTAATTCTTTCCCATTATTTAAATAAATATTTCACAAAATAAATCTAACACAGAATACTGATTATACAAGGAATAGAAAACCACCCATATTGCCATTCTATAGAGTACACAATTAAGTTTAAATATATTATGCAGTCATCTTTCTTTCCATACAACGATGTTCAGATTTTCCAGTGAGTTAAACCTCCACACAACCAGAACAATGATAATCACCTCTCAAAATGCGCCACAGAAAAAAGTATGATTAAAGTTCACACATTTTTTATTTTGACTTTTATAGTTGCCATGCTGAACACAAAAGCGGCAGCACAGGTTACATGCTGTTGAACGCACGCCCAGGACAAAGTCTGTGAAATCGGACACTGTGTGACCTGTGCAGACTGCTGTTGTGGAAGCCCTACTTGACCCTGGAGAGATTGCAGGAAGGCTGCCAGTTGATCCCAGGACTCAAAGTGCTGTGTCGAAGGACTGTGTGAAGTCTCTTCTCCAAGGATATTCCTCCATGTACGGTCTTATGTGCTGCAAATACAGCCATGAAAACATACAGGCAGCATAATCACAGAGAGCAGCCATAATCCAACACCCTGAAGAACGGAGTCCCTGGGACTGGGGCTCAGGACCGTAGACTTGGGGGACATCAAGGTCAATGACTTGATACAATCCACAAAGACAATGGCCTGCATCCTATTTTGCTGAGTAACACACGACTAGGGTCTTAAAAGCTCGTGAGAGTCATCTAACATGCAACTATTGGTCTTCCCCAGCAGGAGCAAAAAAAGTGAAGAAAATCAAAGATGCACGGGGAAAAATCCATCCAAAATTACCACATGAATGCCAGCCTCCATAACTCTGCCAACTGCTCCCAAAAGGATCACAATGAAAGGTCCTAAGGAGAGTGGGAAGACGTGTGGAATAAGACTAAAAATCCTAAAAAGGATCAGGTTTGCTAATCTTAGAAACTGGTGGGACCCCCTAACTAAGGGCCCGTATTCCCTTCCAGTTGGGAATGGAACTCACCCCAATGGCTCAACTTGGGGGCAACCGACGACAGGTTTATGTGGTGAACCGTAACACCGGGGAGGTAGCGTAGCACTCTTCGGGACAATCAATCACAGGAAACAAAAAGGCAGCATGTGCCTAGGGATAAAGCTCAGAAGTGAGGAAGGGATGAGAAAGACGGATGAGGGAAAACAGTAAACACAAGGAGAAAAGTGGGGCGGGGGTCATGACATGGTGGGGATGGCAGTCAAAACCAAGTATGAACGGAGTGTTCAAAGGAAAACCAATTCGCTCAGTCAACTTTCAGCCCAATCACAATCAAACGGAGATTTTAAAAGTGGGCACAAGAGGGCACGGAGTTCATTGATTTTCCAGAGGACAAGTTGCTGGGTGGCTCCAAGTCAGAGCGGATGCCATGGCGCACTGCAGTCTACTTGAGGCCGGGGGAAAGAAAACACACTCTATGAACAGCTGACGAGGAGGACTGATTCATCTGTGAGCACATGAGGGACACGACGTCAATCCTTGAAGACTCTACGGATGCCATTTAGGATGTCCACTCACAGTCACAAGACTTGGGTCAAGACAACTATTCAAAGGGTTCCAAAGCCAGAGAAAAAGATTCCACAGGTTGAGTGAAGACCGCAGAGCACGAGGGTTATTTCTGTCCCAAATGCAATGTGGATGTCCATTTCCATTCGAGCTGACACACAGCAAACGATGCTGACAGATCGTGCCACTGCAGTGGCTTGACACCACAGGGAATGTAAAATGAACAAAATGGGAGACATTCCTGGTTCCTTCTCAACGTGGTTTTCGAAACATGGGAAGCTTATTCCATTTGCCATACTACTGTTATAGAGACCAGTATTCTTATCATTTTGTGCCTGTTTGTGGGTAGATGCCACCAAGTTCGTTCCAAGTGGTACTGACCCTATGTACAAGAGAAGGAGACACTCCAGTCCTGCGCCGTCCTCACAGGGTTAGGTCTGAGCCCACTGTCGCAGCCACGGTGTCACTTCATCAAGGCTCCGCCTCTCTTTGTGCTGATCCTCCACTTTACTAAGAATAACGTCCTTCACCAGCGGCTGCTCTCCCTTGATCACATGTCTAAACTCCGTGAAATGAACTCTGGCTATCCTTACTTCTAAGGAGCAGAATATTCTGGCTATATTTCTTCTCTGACAGATTTGTTTGTCCTTCTGGTAGACCTTAGTACTTTCAATATTGCTTGCCCTAATAATAGACCATAATAAAACACCATAACGCAAGGGCATCAGTTCTTCTTCAGGGTTCCTTATTCAACGTTCGACTTTCACATACATACGAGGCAACTGGAAATCCCATGGTTTGGGGCAGGCACACTGTGGTCCTCAAAGTGGCCTCCTTGCTCTTCAATACTTCCCCCACCCCTACCCCTCTTTGTCTGCCTTTTGGACCTGGCAGTCCGTTGTGCT